GGGAGTTATCTTCGTCCGACTGGCTTGATATACGTACCCACTTCAGCTTGAACACTTCGCTCGTGCAGACACTCTCACTGCAGCCCAGCTGACCAAAATGGAGGAAGCGTCATCTTCATGGGCACAGCATGACGCAGACTGAGACAATCTACAAGCATCGGTTTCTCTTACCAATAGCACACCTAGGCTGAGTGCCATTAGGGCCACTGCATTGTCCATGCAAGTGGAAGGCTGGACGTCGACTATCTCCTGTCAAGGAGGCACTTGGAATCCAGGAGCCACAGAGTCCGTGGAGTGAAGATGCAGGTCCTGGTACAGGCATGGGGCTGGATGGATGCCTCACCCCGATATTGTTTTTCTGCTATCTCCAGCGGAGACTCTGCATATATTCTGCGTTCTCAGAGTCGACTTTTAGTACACCTGTTCTGCCTGCTGAGCATAGGAATTGGCTTATTCTCTGACATCCACGATGTGAAGGCCTACTGCTAGAGAGATAAAAGGACACTCCAGGTACCCAGACCACATCTGACCATTGGAGTGGTCTGGGTGCCAACTCCCACTGCCCATCACCCTGCAAGTGTAATTATTGCAGTTTTTTATAACAATCCGTTTTCCTGGCACTGCAGGTCCCCTCTCCCTCCCGCCCCCCAATCCCTGTTTGCTGAAGGGGTGAAAACAGCTAGAGCGTCGCTGCACGTCCTCACGCTGTGTGAGGACCTCCAGCGTCGCTCAATTCCCCATAGGAAAGCATTGAAAAGCATTTCCAATGCTTTTTTATGGGGAGCTCTAATGCGCATGCACGGCATTGCCGCGCATGCGCATTAGGTCTCCTGGCCGGTGGGCAGAGTCAGTCTCGCCCACCGGCCGACCGAAAGACTGGGAGGAGCGGTGGCGAGAAGAAACCACCGCCGAGGGACATCGGCGGGGTCTCAGGTAAGTGACCTGAAGGGGTTTTCACCCCTTCAGCAACAGGGGATTGGGGGGTGGGAGGGAGAGGGGACCTGCAGTGCCAGGAAAACGGATTGTTTCCTGACACTGGAGTTTCCCTTTAATGATTACTGTTAAAGCCAGTCTGTTTTATTTAGTTTAAGTTTTATTCACACTAATTGTTCTGCTGTTGTGCTAGGTCCAGGTCCAGTGGTAATTATATGACTGCCAAGCATGTTACAACACTATTTAATGGTTTAATAATGCATAGCTAGTAATATATCGGTCTGTAAGAAACATTCCGCTATAAAACCACACGTATAGTCCTATATACAGAAGATTCGTCTGGCATGTGCTATACAGTATATTCGACATGTTCTTTTACCAATTTTATTGGGAATCTTATTGTAAATCTTTTTTTCGTGTCATGTTTCAAGCTTCTGGATAAATATAAAATATGTGCAATAAAATCCATAGGAATTGGGCTTTTTAAATGACTCAAATCTCCTATCCAGTGAAGAAGGAACGCACTTTCCAAGTGATAGGGATGTGTTAATACAGACCATGGAAGTAAACACCATCCCGTCTATTCCTTGAAATTACAAAGGACATGTCCTCAGAAATAGCTTCCACGGAACAGCAAATCCTGGCAGCAGGAAAACTTCCAGTCACCCTCATGTAGCCCCATTGATGTGTGATGCCCAGTGTTCCAATGGAACCACCTGTTGCTAGTAAACTGCACATTCAGTAAGCGAGACACCTAAAAGGTCACTCCAAGCACCACATTAGGGCATTTCATAGGGTCTGGCTTTAGATTTACATTGTATTTTTCTCTATATTCAAAATTTATTTTGTTTTGCTTAAAATAATGAAGATTGTTTTTTTTTCTGCAGTGTAACTCCACCCCCTTGGCCACACCAACTTCTTTATTGGCCGAGTATACACTTGGCTTAACCATTAAGAGCTCAGTGCTTGTGGAGTTGATGGCATAAATCCGCCTCTCAGCCTGTCCTCATATTAAATGACCACATTATTATTATTATTTTTTTAAACCTTTTCATCCCACACAGCAGGGCGGGAACTCAGATACAGATCGAGGGGCAAGGTCTTTATAGTGTTAAGAATACGGGTTTGTGTTCCTTGAAGCTGGGTTAATGCCCCGAGTATCTTTAAGGACAAGGAGTTTGTCACATGACTTTATATCATGCCCTGCCTGGTATGTCACTGGTTCTTAATAAGTTGTGTAATGTTACGGAGATGTCACTCACGTGGAGTTAGACCTTACACTCTGTCAATATCGCTGTAAAACACTGCAGTGTATATTGGCACTATTGAATAAAATAATTGTAATATTGGGCTTTGTACAATATGTGCAAGGTGAACTAATTCTGGGTTTAAAGCACATTATCAGACATTATAAAACAAGAGAATTGTCACTCTAGCTCTATACCTATAGTGTTTCTTTAAGGTGGGACACTATAATCACCAAAACAACTTTACTTAATGAAGCAGTTTTGGTGTATATATCATGCCCCATACAGTCTCACTGCTCAATTCTCTGCTATTTAGGAGTTAAATTACTTTTGTTTCTGTTTATGCAGCCCTTGCCACACCTCCCCTGAATGTGACTCTCACAGCCTGCATGAAAACAAAATTCAATCAGATTTAACTTACTTTAAAAGTTTGTATCTACTGCTCTGTAAATTGAGCTTTAATCAAACACATGAGGCTCCCACAGGGTCTAGCAAGCCATTAACCAAGCAGGAGAAATGAATTCTAAATTAAACATAATTTATAATAAAGGAAGTATAAACATTAGATGTCTCTTTACAGTAAGTGTTTGAAAGGCTGTGTAAATCACATGCAGGGAGGAGTGACCAGGGCTGCATAAACAAAGTGATTTAACTCCTAAATGGCAGAGAATTGAGCAGAAGAGATTGTAGGGGCATGGTCTATACACCAAAACTGCTTCATTAAGTTAAAGTTGTTTTGGTGGCTAGAGAGTCCCTTTAATATTATGTTTACTCATCCATATATATAACAAAATATGTATTTGTGAAGTGTGAGAAATAAAATTAAACGTAAAAATCCACCTCTCTTTAGCTTAGCTCCCAGACAATCATTGCCATAGAGAGAGCATACCGAGAGGAAGAGAAATTAAACAATGTTACTATCTGGCCTTCTCATTTGCAATGTGTGCCCTGCCTGTGCCTGGACTGAACTGGATTATGTTGGAATTTCCAAATCTTGAAAAAGAAATGAAGCCCAATCATCTCTTGAAAAAAAATAGCTAATTTTCACTGTTTTATTAAAAGGTTTACATTTCCAGAGAAGTTATGATTCCCTTTTTAAAATACAGTAAGATAATAGGATGATCAATCTCTGCAGCTATTGTAGAACTACATATCCCATGATGCTATGGCTAGCATACCATCACAGCAGGGCTAGTTCTACACTCACTGGAGGGCAGAACACAAAACCACAGGGCAGAACGTGGGTGAACCACAGGGCACTGAACAGCAGTGATGGCTGGCAAAAGATCATTCCCTTCCTCTGATCATAGAAGGCAGTGTGAACGGAGGCCCCTCATCTATCTCCCAGACTGAGCACATGTTCCGGCTCCAGCACGATGCCCAGATTTGGTCCAGTTCAGTGCACAGGATTCAGCCGCTTGAATTCAGTTTGTTTACACCACCAGACAAAAGGGGCATGGTCACTTTAATGCTGACAGAGAACAAGAACTTAAATAACACTTTTCTTTTTATTAGTAATGTAATCCAGACGGTCCAGGCTCAACTAGGGCACAGTGTGTAATGTAATGTAACCCCCACGGTGTCACGCCACATACAGCGCTATGGAAGGATGCCCGAGTGTGTCTGCGTTCGTACAGAACTCTCCAAGCCTGAAAGAGAATGAATGCACCACTACAGGGGATTGGAGGGGGTTACACTTACAGAGACCATCTTTACAGGGGGAGGAGGTACTGTCATGTCACAAGAACTAACAGTTCCTCTTGGAGACTAAGAAACAGAACAATTTTATCACCGTAATTGCAGCCCCAGGAATAATATATACAATGTTTTATATCTGCCTTGTATTTTGTGCCTCAATGTATTGGAATAATTCAAAGTGTGACAGCTGAGAAATTAGATGGTGTTGGGTTAAGGAGGGATTGCATTTAGTTACATAGTTCATTTAGGGCATAATGTATCTCTGTGTGTAATTTAATTCTTCCCAAAATTCTATAATCGGTTTATCCTTTAAGTCACATCACTGTCAGGCAGGATAGACAGACAGACAGACATTATATAAGTACAGGGTCAAACAAGTTCTATGTCCCCAAATCCAGCCCATATACCATAGCGGATTCATATAAATACTCTAGAGCAGGCATAGGCAACCTTCGGCACTGCAGATGTTTTGGACTACACCTCCCATGATGCTTTCCCAGCATTATGGGTGTAAGAGCATCATGGAGGTGTAGTCCACAACATCTGGAGTGCCAAAGGTTGCCTTTCCCTGCTCTAAAGGCTCTGTGATAAGCAAAAGAAAAAATAAAATAAAGAACTTTCACAGAGGTTAAATGCAGATCAGTGATGATATCTGGTCCATGTTGTCATGGAAACAAAAATATCCCTAAATTAGCATCCTCAGTAGGAGGGTTGTTTCCCCAGTCAGTCTCCGGGGAATTCGCAAAAAAGGCAAGAGAGAGAGGCACAGCTGGAGCAGGATCACAGCGAGAAACTGGAGAGGGAGTGATAACAACAGACACCAATCGAATCCAAGTGCCCCAAATATATTACCCATGTCACCACAGCTTGTGCTGTACCAGGGCTTGCCAATTCTTCCTACAATTCCTATAGCCAGATGACAAGCTGACAGTGATATGAGTGGCCGTGTAGGGGTCGTAGTCATTTAAAGTCATCATCTAGTCAGATCTATGCTGTATGAAAGGCTTCAGTCGTACATTATACATCTTTTACATCTATGAAAGGGACTACAGATTTTAACGTGTAAATAATTAAATATTCTGCATTACTGTGCCAGAGATTACTATACAATCTGTTCAGGTCTTACCTGCTTTCACTGAGCCCCTGGGTTTCAGCATCAGTCCCCTCTTTCATCTGAATATTCCCCCAACTCTTTAATCGCAGTCCTTGGCGCCTCGGCGATGTGCTCGGAGTGGAGCCGTTTGATCGCGCGCTGTCTTCATCACTGGACGGAGTTATTTCGATGGAAGGTAACTGTAGGTACTCAGAATTCTTGGCAGAGTCCATACTTTGTGCCATTTCACGGCTGCGCGAGGACTTTGACCGTCTCATCTTAAATCGTCGGCGCCGATGACTGTAGCAGCTGGATGAGGCTGTGTTACTGTCCTCCGAGTTTGGCACGTGGAGGCCAGGTACCTGAAGAGTCTCATTGATCTCCGTACCTAACATGCTTACGGCTGAAGTCAAACCAAAACACTCAGAAGCCAATCAGACAACTTCCTGAGTAACGCTACTATAATGAGAGACAGGAAGTATCCGCTTACACAGCTGCTAGGTTCCTCCGCTTCCAAAACTGCTTCTATTTAACCGTCTGAGATCCTCTCTGCAAGCAGCTACTTCTTTGTCCAAAGCATCCCCTTTTTTAGGATCCTGTAATGAAAGGGAGGGAGGTGAAAAATGTATCCAAATAAAAGCACCATGCAGCAGACACCAGGAAAGAGAACGGCATTAAAAGATACAAGTGGAAGACAGAGATTAAGGGGAGGAGGGGGGAGTTTTTGTAAAACAGAATTGAAGTGCAGAGGCTGCAGCTGACGGCGTAACTCAAGCTCCCTACAAGCCCCTGCAAGCTTCGGACTGGAAGACACTCTGTACAGAGGAAACTTCATCAAGCACCAACTTTAGACAGCTGTCCATGGTGTGTGGTGCCTACCTAGTAAATGGTGTGTTAGTAGGGTATCAAATAAAAAGAAATCAAATTAAAAAAATAGAAAATAAATAATAAGGAGCAAGGGTTTAGATTAAATACACAGGAATGCAGCCTTAGACGAGGAGAGATGAGCTAAATGAAACCACAAGCCTGGAGTTATCCCTGCATATATCTCCTTGGTCTCTACCTGACTGGAGCCAACCACCTCACCGTCAAATACCACCACACAGGACAGATACCGGGTTAAAGGGACGGTGGAGTAAGGGTTCCCTCTTGTGGTGAAAGGTGGGGCTGTTTTGCCCCAGATTTCTGATTAATATTCACTACTGCATTAACAGACAGCAGGTACACTCAGCAGGATGTTCCTGATTTACAATCTTAAATTATTTGGGATTAAATCAGTCAAACGGGTTCATTCACAGAAGCGTCATCTGGCTGTCTACGTTGTTAGTTTGTTCCCCCCCAGGTTAGCTGTCCTAGTAAGTCTGTTATTGACACACCTGAACTCACCGTTTAGTGAATCAGCCCCCATGTAAGAGTCTTCTGATATTTCAAACCTCTTAAATAAAGGATAAACCGTGCAACTCATACTTGAGGGCTTTAATCAGACTGTAGATGGCGGTCTGTAATCTCATTTTGCCCAATGCTGCCCTTAAGTAGATTTATTTTTTCTTATTAAAGATAAAGTTCAAAAACAGATTATATATACTCAGTATTTTTAATTTTCTTTTAGTATGATAATCACAGTCTCGCTCCCTGCCATCCTAATACGCTGCGTGATTCGTGTAACTAAATAATAAATACTCAACCAATACATTAAACATTAGCAGTATATTTATACAATATTAATACATTTACATAGCACTGAATCCTTTCCTTTCAAACCAAGAATTTAATCCTTCCATGTAATATCTCAGGTCCTCTAATACCCTCTCCGTTGGGTCACATGGCACAGTACGGGCAGCGGATTACAAAAGGTGGCAAATCTGTTGCTATAGCAATGCATAAAGCTTTCTAAAACCTTTCTGATTTAGAGCAGGGGGGATTGGGGGGGGAAGGGGGTGCAGGTAAACTTTTCATTCCTGCTTTGTGGCCCACAACTCCCATTATGCCAAGCAGAGTGACTAAGTAAATTCCAAGTATTCACTTATTTTTAAAAGAATAATTATAATCCTGTTTTGTGAAGACCAATTTATTCTAAATATTGCCACAGTAAGCAGCCATACTGCTTTTTAAACAGAGGATTGGACTAACATGCTGTGTGTAAGGGGGGCACAGTCCGAGAGATTATCCGGCTCGTGGACCTCCGAGCTATAGTGGGCATTGCGTGGCAAGTCAGTACAAAATGAAACAGTAACAAGGAATCACCCTCCGTGCGCAAGTAACAGTTTCTGTCGTTCACTGTAAAGTCAGCATTTTTACTCCAATTCCATTTTTCACTAAAGTGGGCGTGGTCAAGAATGAATTTTAAGATTTAAGGCCAAAATAAAACATTTTACAATTCACCTACTTGGGCCTAAAATTTTTTAGTTAGTCACTAAAGTTAGAATTCAAAGTGAATTTCAAATTGAAGGTAAAATAGCAGAACTAAGAACATTCTCTAATTCAGCTGCTTTAGCTTTGAGTTTGAAATTCACTTTGCAGTAACTTTGCGGGATTATTCACTAACTCAAACGTTTCCCTGTCAATACCTGGAACTTCTCTGTTTAGTAAATAAAGCAGTAAGAGCCTGGAAGAAACATAGAATGTGACGGCAGATAAGAACCATTCGGCCCATCTAGTCTGCCCAATTTTCTAAATACTTTCATTAGTCCCTGGCCTTATCTTATAGCTAGGATAGCCTTATGCCTATCCCACGCATGCTTAAACTCCTTTACTGTGTTAACCTCTACCACTTCAGCTGGAAGGCTATTCCATGCATCCACTACCCTCTCAGTAAAGTAATAATTCCTGATATTATTTTTAAACCTTTGTCCCTCTAATTTAAGACTATGTCCTCTTGTTGTGGTAGTTTTTCTTCTTTTAAGTATAGTCTCCTCCTTTACGGTGTTGATTCCCTTTATGTATTTAAATGTTTCTATCATATCC